CTTCCCCTCAGTGCCACTGTCCAAGCGTTCCATCTGGGACTCCCATGCGGGACATGCTCCCGGGCGCGTGAACGCCCCTTGCCAGGAAATCAAGGTGCCAGGCCTCTGCGTGGTCCAGATGATCTCTTCGGCTTTGCAGGTCTCAAGCCTTTTGAAGCTGAGCAGGTGGCTGCGTCCAATGCCGTCTACAAGGCATGCGTCCGCATACTCGGGCCTACCAGACCGGTGCCCTGGTCACTATTGAAAATCCAGTGAGAAGTTGGTTGTGGCCACTCTTGGCAGCGTTAGTGAAGGCCCATGGTTCAAAAGCCTTTTCTGAGTGGTTCTTCTCCCTTCAGGATTATGACTTTGACGCCTGTGTGTATGGCTCCCGCAGGGCCAAGGCTACCCGCGTCAAGGGCTCGCCGCGTGTGTTTGAGGGGCTGCAAATCTCATGCGACAACAGTCATCCACATCTCTCTTGGAAGCCCACCAAAGTTTCAGGTCGCTGGGTCTATCCTACCAAGGAGGAAGCTGAGTACTCCCCTGAGCTGTGTCGCTTTCTCTGCAATAAAGCCTCAGATGCGGTCTCTTCGCATGCAGACAGCCGTCCCTCGACTGCCAGAACCAAGATGCTGCGTGCCAGTGTCAGGGCATCTGCAGGCCAGCAAACCAGGTCTATGCCATCTCTGATCCCAGAGTTCAAGTGCACAATGCGCCTTGAGGACGTCCCACCTGGGTGCGAAATCAAAGTCCTTTCCTCAGCTGATTCCTCTTTCGCGGGGGATAAAGCTGATCCATCAGCAATGCCAACCTCTGCCTTGCAATTGTCATCATCTTCGACTGCAGCAACCGCAGCAAAGCCTAGAGCCCCAGTGCATCCTCACCAAGTTGTAGGAGTGTACCACACCATGGAGGTGGAAAAAGCACTTACGCTGCCATGCCCCGGGGATTCCTCACTAAGGTTACCTGACCCCATTAGGAAAAATCTGTTTCTGATTTTAACGAGGGGACCCGTAGCGGTCTCGAAAATGAGATTAGAGGCCCTGAAGCAGGTCAACGAGTTGGCGACGATTTTGGCAGAAGAGGAGAAAGCCCTCAGGTCGTCCATGCACCCGGATGTGGAGAAAGTCACAAAAGGTAAAGCGATCTGCCTGTTCCGAGCTCTTCTTGAGGAAACCCAGTTTCCAGATATGGGCGTAATCGACTTGATGGTTCAAGGGGTACCGTTGGTAGGGGATGAGCCGCCCTCGCCTCTTTTTGCCAAGCGTCGCGAGCCCTCCTTGCTCACCCCGGAGCAGCCGGAAACCCAATGTGTGCTCAGGAGGGAAGCCCTGAGAGCCTCACGGACCCATGCGTGCCTGGATGACCTGAAGGACTTGGTCGTCGAGACTTCGGCCGAAGTTCAAGCCGGGTTTGTGACAGGCCCTCACCACAGTGAGCAGGAAGTGTCTTCTCTTCTGGGAACTGATCGTTGGTCTCTCTCTCCTAGGTTCCTTCTCCGGCAGGGAGAGGACAGCAAGGTCCGTATCATTGATGATCTGAAGGCCTCAGCGGTCAACCAAGCTTTCTCATCGTCCTCTTATCTTGATTTGCAAGACACAGATTTCACGGTGGGCCGCCTACGGTTCATCTCGAGGTCTCTGCAGGGGGACGGCCATGTTGAGGTGCCTCTTATTGATGGTTCCATCCTCAGGGGAGAGTTGTGCCCGGAAATGAAGCACAAGCCGGCCTTACTTGGGAAGACGCTAGATCTCAGCAAAGCCTATCGCCAAGTGGGGATTCACCCTGAATCCCGCAAGCACGCTGTGCTGGGGTTCCCTGATGAGTCTGGAGCTTGGAAGTACTACCTGGCACTGTCACTGCCTCAGCAAGCGTTTTCGGGTTCAACAAGATTGCCCTGGCAATTCTTCACATACTCGTGGTGAAGTTTCTGGCACTGGCCACGGACTTCTATGACGATTACACCATCTTCGAATTCCAGCCTGGTGCATCCTTGATGGATAAAAACAGCGTGCGTCTGTTGACCCTCTTGGGCTGGGCCTTTGCCAAAGAAGGCAAGAAATTTGGGAGGGGCAAATCCTTGTTTCCAACAAGCCTGGAAGGCTGGCAAAGATTGCAGAGCTCCTCAAGCCGATAGCTGCTGGGTCTGAGGTCACCAGAGCCCAGATAGCCTCGCTGCACGGGCTGATTAACTTCGCGGGCGGATATGTGATGGGATTCGAACTGAAGCTTACTGCCCGCATGCTCTCGAAAGCTCTGACGGGGCCCTTTCAGGGGAACAATGCTGCCTTGAAGAGTGCGTGCGCTCTGGCCCTGGATGTTATCGCCCTGTGCAAGCCCAGGGTTTGTCTTGCATCAGTTCGGCGTCCCATTGTCTTGTACACAGATGGCGCCTTCGAGAATGATGTTGGCACTTGGGGGTTTATAGTGGTCGACCCGGAGACGGGCGCGCGCTGGCTGTTCGGGGGACAGGTGCCTCAAGCCTTGATTGCCAGGTGGCACGAGATGGCGGGTGGCCAGGTGATATGCGAGATCGAGGCGTACGCCCTAGCCATCACTGTCTTCGGGCTTAGGGGGTTCCTAGGCAATAGGTCTGTAGTGGCCTTCGTGGACAACGAGCCTTGCAGAATGGGTCTCATCAAGCGCTACTCACCATCAGTGGCAATGATGGGGCTGATTTCCCTGGTCTCGTTACTCGAGGGGTCGCTGTGCACCACTATGTGGTATGAACGAGTTCCTTCGAAGTCGAACCCAGCAGATTTGCCATCAAGCCTCCGGCTCAAATCGTGTTTTTGTTTGGGTGGGGTAGTTTTTCGATTTGGTCTTC